CAGAACCTTTCCTTACTATATACGGTAAATATTCATGTGTGTAAATATTCATGTGTTACCATGATGGTGTTTAATGTTTGAATGAATGACACTCGGCAGCTTTATGAAAAACTCTCCAATATATACAGTAGATATATAGTTCCCTTTTTGAAAGGGAATGTCTCCGGTTACTTTCGTAACCTCGGTTCCCTGAGAGGCGGAAACGAGACATTACGTCAGTATGATAGTAACTATCATACTGACGTAATGTCTCGTTTCCGTTACTGTCTCGTTCCCGCCTCTCAGGGAACCGAGGTTACGATAGTAACCGGAAACGTTCCCTTTCAAGGCGGTCACTTCGACATTACGTCGTACTGTTCCCGCCTCTCAGGGAACCTACGTTACGATAGTAACCGGAGAAGATATTAATATTTAGTTTCTTGTGGAAGAGCTTCATGTGGTGAGCTTCCATATATCATGTGACTCTCATCACTGCTGTGATTGTTGGTTGTCAGTGTATTACAAAGGTATAAAACAGATATTAATACTTCAATTAGTCGATAATTTAACATCAAATCAGATCATAAAAACGGTTTATTTCTGTAAATTTTAAGGTAAGACTGTAAAACCTTGCTACCGTATTTTATACGGTAAATTTGTGGCAACCACAGCTGCCGGTATTTTACCGTAAATTTAACACTTTTTTTTTTTTACAGTGTATGTTTGGTGTGAATGGGAGCCTTCTCCTATCCATGCAGTTCCAATTGTGTAAATTAAAGACACACTCTCAGAAAAAAAGGTGCAAAAGCTGTCACTGGGGCGGTACCTTTTCAAATGGTACACTTTTGTACCTAAAGGGTGCATATTTGTACCTTCATTAAGGTACCAATATGCACCCTTTAGGTACAAAAGTGTACCTTTTTTTCTGAGAGTGCATAGTACACCAAAAAATGAATATTCTAAAAATAAAAAAATTAGTATTTTCTCATATTGTTTGATATACAAACAACATTGGACCCCATTGAGTTTTGTTGAAGGAAGAACAATCTTTATAATAAAACAATCTTTTTTTATGTTCCACAGATAAAAGATAGGTTTGGAATGACATGAGGGTGTGTACATGATGGGTGAATTTTCATCTATTTAATATGTTTAAATAGCTCCTAGGCTTCTCAAATGAAATATGAAATCGGAGAATACTATAATTGTATTCTCTCCGAAATGATGGAAGGTTCAAGCAGGATGTTCTGTAGGTGAAATTTAATATGGGCAAACCATTTTAGCCATCTTTGGAGTGAGGTGAAGAATCATTTCTGTTCTGAATGGATGATTCAGAGCCAGAGGTGAATCATACAGGGGTTTGTTTGTATCTGTGCCTTTGATCCCCCTCTGATAGTCCCTACACCGCACAACATCTGTCACGCCGCATACCACAATCGCTCACATAGAGCTTCAGGTGATGCGGATGTATGGTTATTCCTGCCACGCGGCCCGCATGGGCATCCCCAACGCCAGCGCTCATTAGCAGGCAGGTGGCGTTAGTGCTTCGACTGGGGCCGAGACGAGAAATAGAACCTGGCAAACTGGGTTGTACGTCCGCATCGGGTAATCCCTGCCAGATTGCCAGGATATCAGAAGTGACATCACAAAGCCAACAAAAATTAGCATCCCTAATGGTCTGCCAGGCCAAACATTATTCTTCATGATGAGAAGCAGTCATGCCTGCCCAGGGCTCCTGATGATTTGGCCAAAAGCAGTGGAGGCCCCCAAGTTCTCAGCTCCAGCCAAAACCAATAGGCTCTATTCTCCAACCCATGACGACAGGTTCTACAATACCCAAAGGATGTTCTTGTGAAAAATCCTTGGTGCATCCCGATCATACAGTATACTGCTGATGCCTTCAGATTCTAGAAGATCCTTGGAAATATTCTTGAAGACTATAGCCTTTATATACAACTGAGACTATCACCTGGCACTTGACTACCAGTGAATAACACCTTGACTAGATTTGGAAGCTAAAACCAAGAAAGATCAATGAGAGGAGAGGGGGAGAGTGGCAGATTTAATTAATTACTGCACATTAGAATGTTTGTTTACAAAAGTGAACAGTTACAAGGGGCCTGATGGTAATTAATTTAAAACGTACTTCCCCCTGTCCCTGCCTCGTGTCGGCAGTAGACATGGCTGTTTCATGGCAGGTAAGCCTACGTCTCATTGGATTTCCATCAATTGCTCAAAGGTGTGTTGGAAAACAAAGATGCATGGTGCGCAAATTAGCCTGAATGTTAACATGATTGCATATTAAGAAATCTAATTAGGATTCCAGGGAATCAAAAGGGAAGAGCTGCATGATGTTGTGATAATGCATATCTAAGAGGAACGTTTCACCATTTTCCATTTCCTTTTCCATTCTCTACAGTATTTAAATGCAACTTAACAATTTTAAATAGATCTGTATATTCTCTCTGTGAAGATAACTTTATTTCCCCAACAATGTCACAGCGGTTGCATGTGTGTGTGTTTTCATCTGTGTGGTCAGGAGGTCTCTCGAGGTCCCCCTCCAGGACAATGATGTATTTAAGTCCCCTAAGAGGTCAGATGGACTCTGTCCAGAACATCACCTGCAATCAATAGTGTTGGTAAACCAGGCTCAACTGAGTGGCCATGAAGACTCCCCTTATAAACACGCTCGCAGAGAGGCCGGCATGGCCCATTGCTTTGCTAAAACTGCAACCAACATCCTGACACACACACACACAACACATGCCACCACTCTGAAAACAAGTGTTGATGACAAAGAGAAGAAAAATAACAGCACCTCAGCGGTAAGTGGAGAGCCTCCAGGTGATGAAATCCTCTCTAAAGTGACACAAAATGAAGCAAATTGACAGCCATGTGAATGTGTTTATAAATGCTAGTGGGTGGTACTGCCGTGGAGCAGTGAACTCTCTGGAGTGAGAGTATTTGTTTTTATTTTATTTTATATATATTTTATTTGTTATTTTATATATTTAAAAAAAATCCACATTTTACTCTTCACTATGGTATTTTGTTTCATTATTCTTGCTATTTTGATTGCTAAAATGTGCATAAATGTATATTAGCATTATCTCTGTCCGTCTAACAAAAAAAAAGAAACTACTATTCAATTCAAATCTATTTGTATAGCGCTTTTCACAATAAACATAATTTCTTAGCAGCTTTAGAATGCATGAGTCAACATTACAATTACAACTTAAACTATAACTGTTATGTATTTTAGAAATGTACACAAATAAAGCTAAAAATGGACTTAAAAAGTTAAAAAAGAACTGTTTTGGTGGACTGTTTTTACATTATTACGTCTAATTATTATTATCTATTCTACTTTGCCTTACTTTTATAATCATAACAATTTCAGCTTTTTGTATTTTTTATTGACCAGCAACACCCTATGCATTCAGCTTCACTCTGTCATAGCAAAGGTTGTGCATTCTCCTTAACGCTCAGGTGAATTGGGTGCACTGCTTCAATCAAGGCTTCACTATTGGGTTTGAGAGTCATCTGAGCCCAGACAACAAAAGCAAACGCTACAGTGAGTGTCTCTACTGTAAGTGGCTTTTGAAGAATTGGCACAGTCATCTGCTGAACACCTCACATCTCTCACAAACAAATGAAGGCCTGGTGCTTCAAAGTGAGATTGATATCTCTCTCTGAACTTCCACCAGAATATTCTGAATATTGAGAGAGGTGCACTCCTCCCACGGGACTGCCGAGGCGCCTCTCTCCTCCCTCGTTCCGCCAAAGAGGGGAAAAAAGATTGCCCCTAGATCTTCCGTGTTCATCAACGCAGCTGAAATTTGGCAGCTGAAATTTGGCCTAGTGTTTCTGAATAGATGACCCAAGGATCCACTTTGCTGCTATGAGTTTGTCTGCAATTGAGTTTTAGGATTAAAACAGAACAATACACAATTTTTTATCAAGTTCAGAGTCGTCTATATATTTTTCGCTATGACAGAAAACCTTTCAGTTTGCTCTGCAAATTCTTAAGAGAACCCAGCCATTTAATAAGACTATAGAATAGTAGCAAATAGCAATGGAATAGATGTATTTACTTTGTCAAATATATATATTTTTCTGTTCTTTTATTTTTCAAATGAAATGGAGAAGAAACTACTGCTAAAAAAGTTGGTCATAAATCAGTATGTACTATTTGAACTGTTTTAAGCTTGTATATAAAACAGTACAGTATAGGACTGAATTATTGTTATTAAACTAACCAACCTTGCAAGAAGCACAAATGTCTTTACACTTGCAATGTGCTTGTGGACAATGTAATATGAACTATGCACCATTGTATGACAACAAAAAAGATCAAACTACGTTTTTAACTTTACTATATAAAACATACATACATACTAGCGGTAACGGTTCACAAAATTCACGGTTCGGTTCGATACGATACACTTGTGTCACTTGTGTTTGATACGCCTCGGTACGTTTCCGTTACAGCAAAAAGAAAGAAATGGCAGAGAAATTCCCTTGATTTAATTTTTTTTATTTTATTTTATTTTATTAAAACTAACATCATAAAGTATATTTTTTAACTTTGAGCAATGACGGAGCTTGACTTTTCTTAGGAGCATATAAAACAAAACAGCTCCTAGGACAAAATGAAATATTGTAGAAGTTAAAAAAATGTTTATTTTTGTTCAGATTAACATTTGAGGGCAGCAATTGTATTCATAATGTCAAAATAAAACCAACGTGATGTTACACTTGAAAGCATTATAGCCTACCTGCCAAACTTCCATGGTAACAGTTGGAAGTGTTACTACAGTACAAGTGTTACAGTAAATCCATGATGAATGTTGCTGATCTGTGGACACTGGATAGTTCATTCATGGCACAATGTTTCTTCCTGGTTTCCTAGTCAGCGCTGTTTGATCTGTTAATAATGGACAAATGTGAATGTTTCTCACTAGATCTTGCAGCAATGTTATTGCTTCAGTGGCGAATTCAAATGTTTTCTTTACGGATTTGGCTGTGTAGTAACAGTGCTGCTTGATTAAGATCGGCTCGCGCTGCATTGGTCCAAATTGATAAACGGTCCGTCAACCACACAATAACGAGTAGCGTTAGCTCAGTTTAGTTCCGCTTACATTACATTTGTCATTTGATGTTGGGCAATGTTGTGGTCACGTCAGCATCTCTTACATTATGAGCACGCTTGACACACATTTGAAATAACAAAATTTACGAACCATTTGGTTCAAAAATGCGTACCGAAAACCAAACCGAAAGCCTCGTACTGAACGGTTCAATACGATTACGTGAATCATTACACCCCTAATACATAAATACATGCATCATCTTCCGCTTATCCGGGGACGGGTTGCTGGGTAGTAGTCTAAGCAGAGATGCCTAGACTTCCCTCTCTCCCAGAAACTTCCTCCAGCTCTTCCAGGGGGACACCAAGGACAACCAGGAGACATAATCCCTCCAGAGTGTCCTAGGTCTTCCCAGGGGTCTCCTCCCAGTGGAATGCGCCCTGAACACCTTCCAGAGAATGTGTCCAGGAGACATCTGGAACAGATGCCTGAGCCACCTCAGCTGGCTCCTCTATATGTGGAGGAGCAGTCGGCTCTACTCTGAGCTCCTCCCGAGTGACCGAGCTCCTCACCCTATCTCTAAGGGATCGCCCAGCCACCCAGCGGAGAAAGGTCATTTCGGCCGCCTCTATATGGGATCTTGTCCTTTCGGTCATGACCATAAGGGTGAGTTGGAACGTAGATTGACCGGTAAAATCGACAGCTTGGCCTTGCAGATCAACTCCTTCTTCATCACAACATACCGGTACATTGACCGCATTACTGCAGAAGCTGCACCGATCTGTCTGTCAATCTCCCGTTCCATCCTTCCCTCACTTGTGAAAAAGCAAAAAAGCAGAGACGAAGTCGTGTTGTCGCCAAACCCCAAACACCCTCCTGCCCCTGGCTGCGCCTAGAAATTCTGTCCATAAAAATTGTGAACAGAAATGGTGACAAAGGGCAGCCCTGCCGGAGTCCAACATGCACCAGGAACAAGTCTGACTTACTGCCGGCAATGTGAACCAAGCTCTTGCTCCGGTCGTACAGGGACCAGACAGCCCTTAGCAAAGGACCCTGGACCCTATACTCCCAGAGCACCCTCCACAGGACTCCGCGAGCGACATAGTCGAATGCCTTCTCCAAATCCACAAAGAACATATGGATTGGTTGGGCAAACTCCCATGAACCCTCCAGCACCCTGGAGAGGGTATAGAGCTGGTCCAGTGTTCCACGACTGGGACAAAAGCCGCACTCTTCCTCCTGAATCCGAGGTTCTACTATCGGCCGAATTCTCCTCTCCATAACCTTGGCATAGACTTTCCCAGGGAGACAAAGAAGTTTGATCCCCCTGTATTGGAACACACCCTCCGGTCCCCCTTCTTAAAAAGAGGGACCACCACCCCGGTCTGCCAGTTCAAATCTACTGTCCCTGATGTTGCAAAGTTATGTGAGCCAATACATCCCCACAACATCCAGAGACTTGAGATCTCATCCACCCCTGCTGCTTTGGCATCATAAGATACATCCAGCAAAAAATGTATCTTAACACAAGCAAAATGCATTGACACATGTTCAGGTTTGCTTCTCTGTTAGTATCCCCACAGCTGTAGGTCTCTGTCAGTGCATTATTGTGAGAACTCCTTGGTAGCCAAATGAAGAGGCAAACACAGATGATGATGATGATGGTCATGGCATACATATCTGAACCACTTCAAGAGGAATGCCAGCTTAAGGTGAGAAAATCTTAAATTTATAAATTACATACATGATTACTGTAATTGAGCTTACTTCTGAAGACCTAAGGCAAGGAGTGACTTAATATTGTCTTGATTGTGGTCAGAGGTGGACAAAGTACACAACTTCCTTACTTGAGTAAATGTACAGATACTACTGGTCAAATATTACTCCGTTACAAGTAAAAGTTGTAAAAAACTATTTTTACTTAAGTAGAAGTACACAAGTACTTGTTTTTAAAAGTACATAAGTATGAAAAGTAAATGTCAATGCATATTTTTATTATTGTTGCATTGTTGTATGTAATACTTACAGTATGTCTGCGTATACCTACCACTCATATCAAACACAGTTCTAGAATACAATACAAATTTCAAGTGACAAAAAAACAAATATTTACCATTCATTAGTTCATCCTGCGAATCCATACTTCAGGTAAAACACCACATTTTAAATTCCCGGTAAATTTTCATGTGAAAAGGACTATGCGCTCACTGTGAAATGTATTACCAACGGGTTGCATACGTTTTCAATTTTCCACAATGCAACATCTACATGCGTGCATGTTTTAATCCTCGTAATGAACAAGAAAACCTACTCTATAATGATTTCCCCTCAGAGGTAAATCAATAATTGCAGAGCTACAAAAGAGTGTTTTGTCCTAAAATGGTAATTAGCACGGGTCTTGACCTCCCTCATGGCATCTCTCAGTCACCCATCTGAGAGCCAGGGCATGTCCAGAGCTGACACTTAATGACGCTAACATTACACACTCGCTGAACATTGTCGGGCTTTTGTCTTCATTCACATCGAAATGAAGTTCTTGGGGCCCACGTTTATCAATCATGGTGGGGCTCCAGCTGTTCGCCAGTCTTTGGCCTGACTTCAACAGCCGCGCTTACAAATTGTCTCTGAATAGTGTGGAGCTCTGCCTCCCCACCCTTCCACCCCCTTTTTGTCACTGTCTCCTGACAAATGTTCCACTGCAGCTTTTCCCAGACATGGCCGACCCTACCTTCTGCTCCTCGCCATTCAGAGGGGGGTTCTGGCCTCATGTTCCTCTCACAAGATGAGCATGGTAATCTGCAATGCTATAACCATTCAGAAATGCGTAGTGTTGTGATGTCGTGTAATATGATCAATGATGCAAACTTCATCAAACATGAGTTCAATTGTGCCGTGAAGCAGCTTTACAGAAAAGTATCATTATTCGTCTCAAGTCAGTTTGTGTTGGTTCAGTTCAATAATAGTGTAAAGTTAATCAATTATGAAATTGGTTTTATTCAGCTATAAGCATCGAATCAGTTCAATGTTGTTTCAGTTCAGTTCAATAACAGTGTCGATATTGCAAAATTTGTCAATTATCAAACAAAGTCAGACATATAAGATTGTATGAAAAGGACAGATTTGATAGAGATACTTAAAATGAAGTATTCATAATGGTCGACTGATGCATTAATTATGAATTGCTTGATAAGATGTGTTTCTCTCTCTTTACTACTCTCTAGATCTCCTGCTACCTGACGTCCATCAAACATTTCTCTTGAGAAAACACAAAACAAAAGAAAACAAAAATCAACATGGGTTAAAGAAGAGATGCGGCTGCATCAGAGGGTTGAGTGACTTGATACAGTTTCTCTTTCACTGTGCTTCGAAAAGTGAAATAATTAAGATAGATGGGCAGATGAATTAGTTGTCTTCCAAGGTCAAACGCTGATTGCCTTATTACTCTATTACTCCACTGTTGTGAAACTGTTACCGCTGACACTTTTTCATGATATTCTTTACATCCACAAAAGAGAAAGGAATGAGTGAAGAAGTGAGAGAGATACAAATTGATTGTTTGGCGGCCAAATCAGTCATAGTCATCTTGGGTGGAAGGATTAATGGGTCTGATGGCTGTTGCAGGTTCAGGCAGGGAGACGGGCAGAAAACAAGAGAAATTGGTTTGGGCCCCCGGGAGCTGAATCGATGTGAGTAGCATGTAAGCAGTGCACTGTTGGTGTGTGTGTGTGTGTGGAATGAGAGAGAGATATAAGGCTGTGACACATTTGGTTTCTTAATTAAACGTATTAAAAACAATTGTTCTAAAATAACACAAAATGTTTTGAGTTCAATATAAGCTCAATCAACAGCATTTGTGACATAATTTTGATTACCGTGACAATTCATTTCCACTTTGCCCTTCTTTTTCCTAAAAACAAACAAGTTGATTTTGAAAGCACCTTCAGTGGAAGTCCTATGGTTTTGGAGGATTTATAAGTAGAAATGTGAAGCGTATAATTTTTTATGAAACACTTCTGTTAAAACGTGTGTATTATTTAATCTGTGAAATTGTTCTTTTCATTATCATGGTCATTGTTTGATTTTATGTGTTATTGTATAAAATTTACAAAAGTATATATAAAAGGTGTGACCATTTTTTTTTCACATTAAAATCAATTTACTATATATGTAAAACATGTTATGTTTATGAATTGCTTCACTTCCATTGTTAGTGTCTTATTGAACCTAGATTTTTCAACCCGATCTCACGGGAATTTGTACAAATTTTATGAGGTGGCTAATTTGTAACAATTTGTATGATTTTTGCTAAATCGTTCATATTTTACGAATTGGACAATTCGCATGAATTCCCCGCCCCTAAACCTACCCATCACGTGGGTTTAGACAAATCGTACGAATTCGTACGAGTGAGGTCATATGAATTAGTACGAATTAGCCACTTTTTAATCACTCGTACGAATTCGTACAAATTGGTCGTGAGATAGTGTAGAGATTTTTTAAGAAAAGGAAAGACAAATTGAAATTTAATTCTGTGAAAATCAACATTGTGCCACAAATGCTGTTGGTTAACTCGGGTATTGAACCCGCTATATTCATTGAAAGTGAGTTTGGTTGAATATTAAATGATGCATGTATTTATTTTTCTAATTTTTGTGGAATAAAATCTTCTTTAGATCGACATCGATGATTCTCATGTGTTTTTTTTTTTTTTTTTTCAGCTCCAGGTTTCCTCAAGTCTTCCAGAAATGGGCCCAGGGAGGTTAGCAGCTGTGACAAAAATCAAAATCCATTTTCTGTGGCCAAATGTAATGAGGACCAAATGGTGGATGTTCCATTCATCTCTCCGGCCTGTCTGAGCACTCTTAGGCCACAGGCAGCAGGCTTGTGAAGGCAGGTGTGAAAGCTGCGGGGAGTCTTATGAGCAACCGCATGATGCTCTATGTACAGGCATGGCATTTTTGCTAGTGTTTTTTATTGGATATATAGTTATTTTATATGTCTATTTTTATTAAATCACCACATCAATCCATGTGTGTGCAAGATAAATCGTTCTGGTTAGAGGTCCGTCTAATCAGGCATCACAAAATAAACTATAGCTTCAGGAGTGGGACGTTGTTCCCTTGAAATTGTCCCTATTTGTGGACAAAATAGGGTTTGCTTCGCATACCGAAAAACAACAGATGAAAATTGCTCCAGGATTATGACTGAGAGCCCCTCTTCAATCTTCAGAAAGCCCACCCACACAAAATCTGGCTGAGCAATTCACTATGGTGAAGTTAGACCTTTTGTGCGACCAGAATATATTTCTCTCCTTCACAACCGAATTCATGTAAAATGAATCAACACCCCTCTGTAATTCCAAAAATTTGCCACACGGACTGATTGGGGTCAACGGCTCAGTTTGACATCAGGAGAGCGCAAACTCCCCATCATGATTGATTGCAAGCATAGTCACACATATTATTATGAAATGAGTTTATTAGCTTTGAATCTGTTGGTTATGCACTGCTGTTTTAGGCCTTGTGTGCAATTTTCAGAGGCAAGCGTGGATCACGAGAGTCATGAAGGCTTTATGATGTCATTTTGAAACTCTCACCTGGTTTATCTGAGGAACTCTTGTTACAATAGTGATAAAATAGGCCTGAACTACAGGAGATTTCTGCCTGTGATTTGTATTTAGACTGAACACTCGGGAATCTCACTGAGCACCAGTCAAGGCTCGTTATTCCCTCAGATAAACAGGCAGGTCAATCATAGAACACCAAGCCAAGTCCCAATTCCTCTTATTTATGGGGGGGTTACACTTTCTTTTATTTTGGTGCCATATTTATGTTGCAATCTTCATCATGATTTAGCATGGCAGTCATAAATCATAATTGCAAAGACTGCAGAGGCACCAATTTACTTGCGGATAATAAGGTCTTTGTATTTATAGCTACGCTGGCAGTATATTTTATGGTTATGATCATGTGCATTACACCAGTTCATTACAATCAGCATTAGCTTGAGCTTTTTAATAGAATAAGAAGAGTGCCAAATGCCTGTCTATTTTAACCTGCCTTTCTAATAGCCATATGAGTCTGATAACTAAGCAAAGAGCTTGGCGGTAATGAGTCATGTGACACCTCATGGGGTTTTCCATAACTATTTGAGTAAATGTTCGCTCTCCACCAACAATTCCCTTTGATGACCCATTAGATATTATGGGGCAGCCTGCTGTGAGCTCCATAGTCATGATCTTACCAAATTTGTGTTTAATGCCCAAGAGACAAACAATAACTAGATTTTAAAAACTTCCTGACATTATCTCTCATCTGAAAGTCTAACAAGTTTTGTTGTGAGTGACACTTAATTTTTTTTTTTTTTAGACATTAGTGATATTGTTGTTGCTACTGGGAACCCCCACCCCAATGCTTTTAATCTGACATTTTATTTGATTCTACTTTTGCATAATTTGTGCCTTTTTTTTGGTATTTAAACAACAGATATTTCAATGTATTTTTTTATATTGTATTTATGTATAGATTATGAATAGCCTATATTCAATTTTACATTTGAACAGTTTTCATCTATATTCCTCTTATTTCATATTTCCAAATGGAAAGAGGGTCCTTCTCCTTTTGTTTTCAGAGATTGCATTTGTTTCATTGAATCTTTTGCCACTGAATCCTGATCAACTTCCATTGCAGATGCTTGTCAGCTGGGGAATATATAAAGATAAATGGTATTATGTTAAATTCCACTTAATGACAAATTTTTAATTTTCTGAACACGGTCATTTTCTGGCTTGTGAATCAAGTGTAAGGAGCTAATTACGTGAGGATCTGAGCAAAAATAACTCCTCATCTCAAGGATAATGGAACAGAAATGTTGTAGATTAATGGCACTATTTATCTTTTTTAAATTTCTATCTTTCTCTGGTGATAGCTGTGCTCCCCAAGGAAAATATTCATAAAATGAAATTGAAGTCGTAACTTAATAGGTTATTAAAATTTTTGAGCGCATATCACTTCTTCTTTCGCGGCGCTGTAAATTTAAATTGAAGTTTGTGGCGTTCGGAGTCACCAGCAGAGTTTTTTATGATGGCACAATAGAGGGGGAACATGCATCTTTGTCAGGAGGTATTTGCTATTCTAATTTTATGGCAGGCCAGATTATCAAAAAGGAATGTCATGGTGCGGGCTGCTGACAACACCTCAGCCTTCAGCCATGTGTTTCCATTAAGCGACTGAGTCGTCCGGGGGTTTGTTCGTCCCATTATTTTCCATTTCTGTCTTTTATCTTGATTTAAAGTGAGGCTCACTGCATATTCCTGTGCTGTCATTTCCTTTCCTCTGCCAGAGCCTGAGATTGGGCAGCACAGGGCGTCTCAGCACAGGGACTCGCTCTCTCTCCAGGGGCCGCGTGTAGAGCGATTCAAGGTGGAATATCTTTAGCCCGCCTATATGTTTGGAAACACTGTGCGAATGAGAGATGGTGATGGAAAGAGAGAGGGGCCATCATCACCGCCCTGGCGTTTTTCCCTCAAGGTCATGGGGCCAAATTTATTTATTTCCCTGAAAGTTACGATGGAATTTTACTGACTACTTTGCAGTAATGATGAGGGACATCAGCAGCCATAAATTTCTCTTGCCATTTCTTTCGCCAATGATGAACCATTTTTTATTTAGCCTTCAAGGACGTTACTTACATGGTATTTGTATGGAAGCAGTGTTATATGTAATGATATCCATTTCATAGCGTCATAACCCGGTGGGAAAAAAAAAGTAAAGTAAAACTGACTTGGGTGCATGGTATTCAAATTCATCTGGAGCTATTGTAATAAATAGTAAATGTCAGACAAAATTTGTGACGTCCTTGTCTGTTTTGCAACTAAAAGGCTTGTTTTTGCCCTCTCTTCCAGGATATTAAACAGTTGTTTTTTAATAGCAATTAAATATATATATATATATATATATATATATATATATATATATATATATATATATATATATTAACGTTAATTTTTTTTATTTTTTTTTGCATTAGACTTGTATTTATGATGTAATCTACAGACTGGAAATCAAAGGAGTGTCCCAGCTGTAAATGTGGCTTAACAATATCATCAACTTATTTTTTTCCCCCTTTACCTCCAGAAATCCACAGATTTTCTCAATCTAAAGGTCATGTAATTAGCATAACATCATGATGTCTTTTATTGATTGGCTATTTAAAATCCCATTGTGGTCCTGGGAGTAATGTTAATGGGTAGAAGCCACACCTCTTTATTGCCTCTATTATGAAATCCCATGAGCCCTTGTGAATATTCCTCAGTGGGCACTCTTTTGTAGTTCATTAATGGTCAATTACTTAGAGCTCGTGGGCCCCACTGTGTCATCAACAGCGACACCAGCCAACCCTCTCACCAATCCCCGCTGCCTCCTAAACAAATAATAGAAAACCTTTCTGTGCGCAAAGGCTAGAATCGCAGCCTCTTAACCAGACGATCCCAGAAAACCTGAAAGTTTCTGGTCCCCTGTTATTTGAAAATTAATACCATTTTGTTTCTCAATTTCAGGACGTTCAGCGTACATTTGTCATCTGAGAGATAGCAGCCTCCATTGTTTCCCCCAAGGATATTTCCCCCCCGTCTCTACTTAGAGATTCTGCATGCTGAAAGCTTAAAGTAGAACATATTGGAATGTTCAGACAATCCTGACCTGTTTATGCAAGCAGAGTTGATAGGTTGTCAGGCCCCCAGCGAGAGGGCCCAGAATGAGGCGAGCTATCCTTTAAACTGCCTGCCTGATATTTTGTGGATAATAAAAGAAATAAATCAGACAATAGGCCTGAATATTTTATTTGCTATCCATATTCCTTATAGGCAGAAATGATATAGAAATGTAAAAACAGCAATTTCGCCCTGGCCCCTGACGGAATCGTAACACAGCTGCTGCTGTTTTCATGTCTAAAGACAAAGTGCATTCTTGCCACTCGGCTAGCTTGTGCTATATGTGCTGTAACTCTGTTCGGCAGGCTCTTATCGTGTTTTGTAATGGGGCTGTGGCTACCCCTTTATACACATCACCCCCTTCAGCCTCCTAGAATTTCATCCTTTTCCTTTAATGTCCTTTCTTACAGTGGTTGACTGTTTTGTATATATATGTCAGTGTTACAGCATCACTTCTAAACATGGACCCGAGGCCTAGCCGGGTCACGCTGACCAATGTCTGGTGCCTATCGCCCTTCATTTAGCATCTCTCGTCTTGCTGTGCCATGCTGCGTCTCTGTGAAAGATGCCTCCATCAGCAGAATAGTGGTGACAGTCAGAGGGGAATGAGCTCGTGAAGTGATTACGAGAACGGGTGGCAGTCATTCAGACCCCCGAGATGACAGCACATTCAGAGGGAAAGTGCCCGACTGGCATTAATCCCGGGAAAATCACTGGCCTCCAGGAATGCATTGTGGGCCTGATAAGATGGTCGCTGTAATATGCACTTAATCTGCAGGTCTCCAATGAGCCTGCTTGTATTTCCAAACTGGAGGGAGCCATTGTTGTGAGGCCTGCAAGATCAGGGGCTAAATTGTAAGGTTTTATTATATTTTAATGCAAAAATGCATACTACACCTCATCTGTGCAAAGCTATAAAATCGCAGGCTTGTATAGAAACATTTAAATGGAGAATTCTGTCATAATTTGCTCACCGTCATTTTTCAATTGTGGGACTGAATGCTTTTCCATACAGTTACAATGAATGGAATTGGATCTTTTGAGCTTCAAAAAGTTTACAAAAGAACCGTTAACGTATAAAGTAAAGTAATGTAGTACTTCAATCCTGTATAAAAAGTATTTTAAAAAGGGATAGTTTGCCCATGATTTACTCACCCTCAAGTCATCCTATGTGCATATGACATTCTTCTTTGAGATGAATACAATTGGAGTTATATCAAAAGATCAGTTATATAATGTCTGTGAAAGGCAGTTTCTATTTTGAAGTCCATAAAAGTGCATCTATCCATCATGAGAACTCCAGCCAGGGGGTTATTAATAAAGGCCTTCTGAAGGAAAGTGATGCGTTTGTGTACACTCTAAAAACTGCTGGGTTGTTTCAACCCAAATTTGGGTCAAATATGGATAAACCCAAATGTTGGGTTACAAATGTTCACTTTCAACTGTAATTTTTTTAAATTACATTTTTAATCCAACTTTTGGGTTTGTCTATATTTGACCCAAATTTGGGTTGAAACAACCCAGCAGTTTTTAGAGTTTAGGAAAAATATACATATTTAAAACAAGCTTCCGGCCAAATGCAAGTACGGATTCGGCTTAAGTCTAAACTGTTAGCTTAAGTCCAGCTAACAGTGACATTCTCAAAACTGTGGGAATAAATATGGGTGAGTTTTATTGTGCTTTTGCATCCTTTTTGAAGCTTTACATCCTATGTCCCCATTCATTGGAAATTGCATAAATAGTGACCAAGTCATTATCCAGAGTTTCTGTGTCTCATACAGGTTTGGAATAATATGAGGATGACAAAAAAAAAAAAAAAAACTATCCAATTTACTTGGCTATATACATATTTATATTTATAATAATTATATTTATAGATAACATTCAACATGCTTTTTTTAAAAATTCAACTAAATATGAAGTGAATGAGGAGTAACATGAGACAAGAGGCGTTGTTCCTGCAATAAACCAGAGCCGACTTTCTGTGCCAAAGAGAAAGGTATATGTTGGCCAATAGCTGATTATGTCCACTCAGCACATTGTCAGAGCAGAGCCGACAGTACCCCTTTCACTCTGTCATTAGACCATTTAGGGGTGAAAATATGGGGTTGTTCTGAGCGGGAGGAGAGCACTCTCTGCCTGTTATTATCAGTTTTACCCTGACAACACCCTGGTGTGTAACTTTCACCTGAGAGATGGAAAGATGGAGGTCCCTGTTAAGAAAGGAACCATTGACTGATGGGCAATTTCATATGAATGTCCATGGAGCTGCAGTCTAAGTGCTTCTCTTTCAAGTAGTTCATGCAGCTAATATTTTAAAGGTGTGCCATTTATTTTAAATTCTAAAATACTTTCTCCTTTACTTTTTTTAATATGCAGAATATGCAGCTAAGGCTTTAAAGGGCTGATTCTCCTCTTATAACAAAACTTTGTTTGTTTGTTTAAAATTCCCAACCTGACAACATAGCAACAGTGGCTCATCCAATGGGGAGAGTTTAGGGTGGGGCTATTGGTTTGTTTGACCAATGGCAGATGAGAGGAGAGTTTGGAAAAACCTGTTTGAAAACAGTTCTTTTTGTGGAATTAACTTTGGTGCTGGTACATAAATGAAATACCACACGTCAGCTTTACTGTGAATTGAATTATCATTAATGAAAGCTTGTTTGGGTTTGTGTATGTACTGTATAGAATTACAATGTTAATTAAAATACTAGTATACCAAATTATTATGTTTGTGACTTTTCAATTTCTCTTCAATCCTTCAGAGTGAAAGCACACTGGAACAGGATTTGAGTGCTAGTCTCTGATAAAACTTTAATTGAGCTAGTTGATGATTGATTTTCATGCTTCACTGCTGGTTCTATTGGTCCATGCCATATAAATGTTGATTAAAAAATAAATATCACATACCTTCTTCTATCATATGAGCTCACGACTCATGTTAGAGGGTTTGCCAGTATTGGCCTACAGTCACGCCTAACATGCACATTCTCTTCATCTGTGACAGCAACATTGCTGGCAAAAAAACAACAACAAAAAAACGGTTGCTGATGTACGTAAATACGACCAGAGTTCTTGCAGTGTGGGTGCTTTGCTCCTCTGATTATTAATGACGGCAGGACAGTATGGAGTATGTGATGAGAGACCCAGGTGAGCTCCAGGAGAGTCCGTACACCACACCCTGGGGTCCCACAAATATCACCCTTGTAATTTCATGCCTCTGATTATTATTGCACACTGTAGCTCCGAGCACTGCTCTTCTACCCATTCTGTTTTCTTCCCCAGCTGAGGTGCTGTTTTAACAGGACAAGCCCACCTCCTGCTCTGTTCTCACACACACACACACACACACAAATATGGGCATGATCACCTACTGTATTCACTGACTCGCTCTCTGAAGCACAGGCACGCTCACGCTTTAATCTTTATTTTTTAATGTTTTGCCTCCCTGGACCAGTCATGAGCTTTCTCATTTCTTCTTCTCTCATTTTCTGTTAATTCGCTACCATCTGCCTCAGCATCTGTTTGAGGAGCTGGAAAAAGTGTCTGCCATGATGGAAAAAGTCTCTGGTCTTTCTTTCCCTTGTTTTCGAGTGTATCCCTCTTGCTTGCTCATTTACATGCCAACCATAGATTTCTCTTCAGTCTTTGTTTGGGTCTCTGCTCCACCCCTTTCAGCCGGTCTCTCTTTTTTTTAGCATAATCTCTCAAACGCCTGCCTTTTTGCGCCCTCACTCTATCTGCAGTGAGCAAACCGGGCGGCCTTCTTCCTCTCTTGGCCTCAAGACAGGAGTGGGAGTCATATCCTTTCCATGTCCGACTGCTTACTTAATATCCACTGTCAACAGGAGGACACAAAGGATTAGAAAAAGTGCAATTGTAATGCCCAGACAATGCTTTCACTCAAGGTCCTCCCGACATCTCCCCCCCCCCCCCCCCAAATCCCTCCCAGCCTGCATCTTTGAGGCTCGCCGACAATAGTGGCAGGCCTGCTGCAGAGCAGAGCCCGGGCCCGGCATCACCCCCAGCCAACCTGCAGATTACAGGCATTCTTTGTGCGGGCCAGGGTTGCTGCGGTCCCCTCACTGGCAGAGGCTGTCCTGCCTCAGGCTGCTTTCTCCTC